TCCTCGCAATTCTTCATACACGACATACTATCCATCTCCAAACGCTCACCTTAGCTTAGCAAAACAAATTCTAAAAAGTGTGGGCGAGAAACAACATTACCAGTGGTAGGTAGTGTAGTATCTGAATTGTGCTCAATCTATCCACCTTCTTAGCGTGATGATCTTATATAATATTGAATACTGAATATAATAATTTTTAATTATTGTCACAAATTTTTAATTATTCTCGTAAATTTATACGTGGTAGAGCCATGCTGCAGTTATATTAGTAGTATAGTTGTAGCACGAATGGGTCGACCCGACCGGGGAAGGACCACGCTCCCGCAGAATACCAGCGTAAAATAGCAGTTAAGTACTGCTGTGTTTCGTATGGTGAGTGTAGAGAACCGGAGACCCATTTTACTGGAAGAGAGGCATTTCATCTTAGTCCTCACGGGTGACAACGCTTCTACATTTTGATTCGCAAACGAGGATAAATGTAGATGTCTATGGGCTACAACAACTACTTACTATCAGGTGGACTGTTTGCTCATTTGTATCTACCTATATACCTAACCTATCCTATAAAAAAATGGGTGGGTGTGGGTGAACAGGATCATATTCTTTTTCATCATCATTATCAGCCCGTAAAACTACATTTTGATACATAGGCCTCTCCCATAAAAGGAGTATTAAATTAAACTATTGTTCAATAGTACTTTTGATTGTTACCTTTGATAATTTAAACTTATAAACACTTTTGACACAATCATGCAACTGTCAGTAGTAACTTTTAAAGCGCGAAATTTACAGGTTAAATGAACAGTGACGTTACTAAATTATTTCAGGGAGGCTTTAAACAGGGTGGGGTGAGCACGCTAGCGTTGGATTTACTCGTATATTAAAGGTGTGGCTAAAGAGCGCGAGCTTGCCTCGATTTAACACGAACAGCAAACAGTGGAAGTGTGCATGTATAGATAAAAACATAATAGGGCTTTGTTCTAGAACAATATTATCAATTTGGCCCGCAGCCGCTCTTCTGAGTTATTAGTAAATTGTTCTCTGTACCTCTTTTCTTCGTAATCATACGAGTATATAATAAACGCAGATACAAAGGAGAAAAATTTACGTTCTAAACACTATTGAGGTATTATTACGAATGGAAAAAATAATAATTTTAATATGACAAGCAAACAATATAAAGAGACATAAAGAGTGCATGAAAAATATTAATTAGCTGTGCAGTGAATAAAACTGCTATTACGGATTCTATCGCGTTTAATTAAATTATTTTTTATTAATTCCCCACGTTTCGGGTACTTTACTGCACCCATGGTCACGGGGGTCCCCCGTTTTATGTGTAGTGTTTGCGTAAATATTAGAAATCATTAGTTGTGCAGTGTCAGTGTTTCATCTTCGTATTAATATATGGATTTGGGACTTAAGTCCCATGCTTATGTGGCACTTTTATCAAAAAATAATTTGCCAAGCGTGTTACTTGACTAGCATGCTGGATGTAGCTCGTTGCTCTTTGGACTCACAAGGGCATCACTGACGTTATGCTTTAGATGCTATGACCTAAGGGCTATCACAGCAGTTTTTCTACCGACTTCAAACAGGAGTCGGCCCTGTATTCGACTTTATGTTTTTTTTTATGTGTGTTACCTCATAACTTTTTACTGGGTAAACCGATTTCGATGATTCTTTTTTTATTTGAAAGCTGGTGCTTCACATGTAGTTCCCTATAAATTTGATCAAGATCTGACGAATAGTTTTTGATTTATTCTTAATAGTTTATATAGAAGTTGGTTGTACAAAATTTTAATGAACGAAACTTACGTTTGAATCACATCCAAACGGCATTAAATTTAAGATGTCATAACTTGATTTATTTATTTGAAATTATGTTTAGTTTAGTACATTATCGTTATTTAATATTTGGATAAATTTCCTTTTTTAATATGGTTATTATGTACTAACATATTGATCCTATGCCAAAGCAAAAAAGAATGATACCTCACAATCAATCATGTGAACCTGTATAATTATTATTACACCCTTACATAAATAAATCCTTATATAATTTCTAAGTTTAACACAATACTTAAAATACAAAAGTGTTGTATAAATATATGCTAGTTATACTAAAAGATTTAAAAGGTGAAAATTTTACTTTATATTTTTCGAGTCTTAACAAGAAAAAGCTTTAAGAGCTCACAAAAAAAACCTATTCTAACTAAAGCACTCATATACGAAATGATCTTCAACGGCCTCTAACAAAAAGACTAGTATTTTTTTGCAGTTACAACAAGGTTATCAGTGTGACTTCATACATAAACAAATTGTTCTATTTTAGTGCTTATGCGAAGGGAATAAGGTCTACACGTAAATTTTGAAGGAGAAACAATAAGTTTGCAATTAAGAAATGGGCTAGGTGGCGTATGAAACGACTCAGATACGATTTTTTCCAATGCAATTCGATTGCGATTGCATCGAGTAATCGAATTCACCGAGCGATTCAGCATCGATTGGTTCTCAACTGTTGAGACTTAATTTCGTCTGTCATTAATAAGAATGTTTGTACTTCAAAAGCTTTCGACAGTTTTCGAGGATTGGAAAAGAGGGAACGGTAGCAATACGTTTTGGCGGAACTGTGCAGTTTGTGACAAAATGCTGTTGTGTTTTGGGCTCAATTTCATTTAGTGTTTCCAGTAGTATGTAAGAGAATGATCTGTATTTCATTTTATACAGCAAGTAGTTTAACAGATGTCTAAGCTATTGAGTTATAAAAAAGACCGGGCAACTGCGTTTTTTTGAATAAGCATGAACATAACAAGATATCAAGTTTTAGTTGCAATTAACAGGAATCGGGACTGTGTTTGTTTCTTTGTCATAGATGTTTTTTTTAAATATATTTGTTTAAATTTCTTTGAATTGCTGTCGATGTGGACACTTAATAAATAAATTTAGGAGAGGATTTTGGCGGCATGGGAGACTAACAAGACTTACTTTGCTATTCACTGTTTTATTGTTATGTCTGGAGGATGAAGAGGGTACACAATAGGACCGCCTTACGTTGCTGTTTGATGTGGTGAGTGTAGAGATCCAAAGACACATTTTCACTGAAAACGAGGCATTCAAACTAATGGTGTGAACCGATTGCAAATATGAGAACCGGTTTTTACCGATTACTTTAAGTAAAAAACCGGTTTTTAAAGGTATTTTTAGGTTTTTTCTTACCTTTTCAAAAGAAAGAACAATACATAAAAGCTTTTAGAAAAATTTACTTCGCAAATATCCGCGTTATAAAATAAAATGATGTGTCTTACCTAGTATAAAGAGCACCTCTCGCCCTCCCTCAATTGCGTGGACGGTGGACTAAGTTGGAATTTCCAACTTAGTCCACCGGGGTGATAACGCACCTACACATTGATTTCTAATTAATGATAGATGTTGGTGTCCAGGGGCAACTGAATAAAATTGTATGAATTGTATGCTCTTTTATAACCTATAATAACTTCAATTAAAAGAATAGAAACCATCTTCTTCAGTTTTTCCCATAATCATCAGGCAGGCATACGTAGGGCAGGCGGGGTGGGAGTATCCATCAAATTTCAAATTATAAAGTGGATTTAAAAAATAATATAAGGACATTTTTTTTAGAATTTATAAACATTTATACCTGAAATATTTAACCGTGTAGTGGCGGTATAAGAATATCCACTATCCCGCATTATTCCGTGGGTGTCGTAAGACGATAGAGGTAAACAAAACAGTGGAAGGGAAACAGCGTCTTGCTAATAAAAAAAAACCGGCCAAGTGCGACTCGGACTCGCGCACCAAGGGTTCCGAACAAATCCGTAGGTATATAAGTTTAAAATTATTAAAAATATTTTTGTTACATGATGTAACTAAAAATTTATGCTTTTCGAAATTTTTCCTTTATCTGTGCTATAATAAGTTGCTTCGTACCAAATTTTAAGATTCTGAGTTCACGGGAAATACCCTGTAGGTTTTTATTCCCTTGCGAATGTCGAAAATTTGCGGCACAAACGTCTGTATCTTTTGATTGCGTTGGTTTAGAAGTTTGATTTTTTCACAGTTCTAAGGGACAGTAGACTGAGGGAGTAGCGTTTTTGAGAAAAAGGGCCTTGACAGACAGACAGACAGACGAACAACAAAGTGATCCTCTGAGGGTTCCGTTTTTACCTTTTGAGGTACGGAACCCTAAAAATGCAATTACCAAGCCGTGCCTAAAGTGGCAACTATGGCAAATATCCCCCTGGATTTTTTGGTAGACTGTAACGGTAACGGTATACTTAAGATATTTAATTGCAGCTTTTGATGAAATACTATTTATTATAAATTAATTTTACTATTTATTAAAAATAATAAAAGAAAACAAAGATCGAAATCAGAAGGAGCAGAGTAAGCTAAAGTTGAGTTGTTGTTTTTTTTTACTATTTACAAATCTCAAATTAAATTATCGTTAAAATAATTTTAAAAGAAACCCGCAAAGAATGTAATAATTCGAGTAATAGAATAGATTTTGAATTTATAAAAGGAATGATATGAATTAAGAATTACAATGATTTTAAACAATGTTCGTTACCTGTCATTATTTGTTCCAACACCAAAACGTTGTTATAATATTCATGTACCGACTTTCTTAAATATTAAATACAAAGCGGCAGTAATTATTAACTATAACCTTAAAATGAGATAGATATTATGAATTTACAATATTTAAATTATTAAAATTTATCGGGATCAATTACTTTTACAACTTATCACTAGGATTGCCACAGCAAAAAAACTGGCGAATACATAACGCAAAATCACACTTTACGACATAAAAATGATACCATAAACCAAGGAGAATATAATGTAATACCTATGCCTTATTTTAAACTTCAGACGTACATGACCAAACGTCACGTCTAACTATTATACGTTTAACGTCTCTTTATTTTTAGTTTTATCAAAATTATCGTACTAATAATTACATAAAATCTCTAAGAATGCAGAAAAAATATATGTATGATACTGATTTGATGAACAAAGAATGTAATTGCCATGATCAAATTTTCAATTATAGCAATGAAAGCAAAATTCACAAATCTCAGTTTTGTTACGCAGATTTATACACTATCGGAAAAATATGGCTGTTTGCATTGAAATCAGCTTTGCTTGGATTTAAAGTATGTTTGATTCCGGTTGTAAAAGCAGATTCTTCTTCAGTACCACCAAAGAAACCACCTCCAATGAAGTATAAAGATTTGCCACTTTATCAAAGTCCGCATTATGAATACAAGGAATTCATTGCAAGTAAATCTAAATGCCCTGAAGCTGATGTTAAGTTAATGCACCGATTTCTTCTGTCTTATGTAACAATGTGTAGAAAAGAAGTGCAATATCAATCGTGTCAGATGAATCACGCTGTAAAAGAAATTTATAACAACGCTCGAACATCTTTACGTGAAACAAAAAAGGACTTTAAGGCATCCATGAGAGATAGTGAAAACTTAACAATTCGAAAGGCCGTAGTTCTAATGGGAGCTGGGGCTGGATACCTGCTAGCAGCTGGAAAAGGAATTCCGAGGCGTATATTTATGACAGCAGCCGGAGCTGCTGCAGGTGGTGCATTATGTTTTCCGAAAGAAACTGATGAAGCTTTTAGAAATTTTGCCTACTATAGCGGTAAAACTGCAGTTGGATTATATAATTGGTGCTGTGGAAAGGATTTTGCTTTGAGAGAAAGATTACCTTGCCAGGATGACCTACCCGCTGCAACAAATCAAATTATAAGTCAATGTCCTCAAAAGAAGTAGATTTTAAGCTGAAAACTGTTATAACAAGAAACATTTTTCCAAAAGCATTTGATTGCCAGTGTGTTGATTAATAATGCAGATATCTAAAATTTAATGTTGATTGAATCGTGTCTTAACTACTGTTTTTTTGAAAATAATTTGAAGTGAAATAGACCAAAAATCATATATTTTGGATTTGTTATTTTAGAACCCCAATTAAGTGAAATTCACTCTTCAAAACATTGTATTCTGAATTTCGCAAGAGTGAATATTGAAAATAAATGGCGTAAAGTACACAAGTAAGTAGTTTATTTCTTGATGTATTTTTAGTTTATGAAAAGCTTGTCATGAGTCTTTCATTATTAATTCATCTGGAAAACAAGTGATCATGTGAAATAAAATGTAAGGTAGGTATGTGATTAAATGCAATAGATGACTGTTTTACCTTCTCAGTGGGGCACATTGTACGTGGTAGAGCCACGCTGCTATATTATGGTTGTAGCACGAATGAGTTGGCTGAACCTTGGTAGGATGTTCCAGTTTTACTGGAAACGAGGCATCACATCTTTGTCCCCAGTCAGTTTGATCATTTATCGAGGATAAATGTAGATGTCTATAGGCCGCAGCATCCACTTGCCATCAAGTAGACTGTGTGCTCGTTTGTTTCACTTATTCTATAAAAAAAGACACACACCGACTATGTGACGAAACGTCAAAAGTAGAAGACGTCGGGTAATAAATCCTCAACGGGAAAATCCAAAGTCCGGCAGGTGACTTGCGGACTGATATCATTGAAGAAGGACAAGAAGGTTTACACTTATGTCATTATATCATTCCCAGACTTATGTCATTCATAGCCGTAAATAGTTACTAAAATATGCCCAAGAAAATGAAATGGTGCACAAACATACCTAAAATTCTATTAATATTGCGAGTATAAACGTGAAAGTTTTCAACAGTGGTAGAGCCACATGGCGGCTTTTGCTGTCGCACGGATGGGCCGGCTCGAACCGGGGTGGTACCACGACCTCACAGAATACCAGCGTGAAGTAGAGGTTTACCTCTGCGTTTCGCTTGGTGAGTGCGGGTGGCCGAAGGCCCTTTTTACTGGAGATGAGGCATTCCATCTTGGTCCTCACGGGTGACAACGCATCTGCATTTTGCTTTGTAATAGAGGATAGATGTAGATGTGTGTGGGCCGCGGCGGCCGCTTGCCATCGGGTGGACTGTGTGCTCGTTTGTCACAGTTATCCTATAAAAAAAAGTTTGTGAGGATGTATAGTAGATGTTTGTTAATCTTTCACGTAAAAACTACTAAATGTATTTTAATGAAACTTTATAATTATATAGTTCATACATCAGAATAACACATAGGCTATTTTGTAATTCATAAAGATATTTTGTAAATTGGCCAAAATGTAACGATAAATGTTAAGTAAGTCGGAAAAAAATCTTTATCTGCGAGCTATTTTGGCGTGCGGTGCAAAAACTGTAAGTTACACGAGTACAATGTATGGTGGAGTTGTTTCTCCTAAATAGTTCCACAAAAAAGTCCCCGACAGTATATATCTATATTTTATGTGTAAGCCAAAATAGTGAACCATAAATACAACTGTCTGAACACGCATCACACGAAAACGTACATATGAATCGATTTGGATGGGACTTTCATTGGCAGATAGCTGATGTTATAAGGAGTAACTTGGGCTACTTTTATTTTAGGGTTCCGTGCAAAATAATTCCACGCGGGTGAAGTCGCGGGGAACAGCTAGTGATTATACTAAGCTTCAAAATTGATTAAAACTTCGAAAGCTGAATGTGAAAGGAATAAAGATAAGTATGTCAGGATATGTGTCAAAATGCGTGTACCATCAACTACCATGGTCAATTTGGGATCAGGTTTAATCGAGATGGTGCAACGAACTATTCATTTATTGTTATCGGAACAAGGTTTCTCAGGGGAAGTTGGGGTATGGTCTAAGGATATGGATAGATTTTTAGTGATACCTATTCAAATTTAAGGATATCTTAATTTACTTAACTTAAGGTAGTCTGGTTCAGAAACCTATAAAATTATTTAATGAAAATTTAGCTGCTGTTTAACCACGTGTTTGGAATTGGTAAATATCGTAAGGAAACTTGCTAAAGTATTAAAAATCAAGGTTATATGAAATTCATCAATTTATTTTATAGCAGTTAAGTGAACCATTTCGTGATCTGACACTGTCTCAGAAATAAAAGTTGTTCTATGTCTAGCATGAGCCGATTTAAAACGATTCTAAGTCCTTTTTTCCAAATTTCATTCGAAGTTGGCTTTGCAAAAGCAGGAAAATAATCTTTAGAATTTTGATTTACTATATCAGTTTCAACGTTCAGTTCTAACGTTGTTTCAAAGTTTTAAACAGAAGTGCTTAGCTGTGCCATGATTGTATCCACGTTTATTTCTTCATAGGTACAACAACGTCAGGTTAAGGCAAGATATTACTTGTTGCTGAAAGTCGGGAACAAAACGTTATCCCGTTATTCCGTTATTTTATATTCAGTACAGATAAATGATACTTACCAAATTAAATTTTGACTTTTACAAAATGATCAATAAACTATGTCCATGGAAGAACCAACAAGTTTGAAACTGGACTTTTTTCGAAATAATAATTGACAGTTTTAGTGATATACAATATTTATTACAATGAAAGTCATACTTAGACTGTATAATTATTTTTTCTCCCTCGTTCCGCCTTTCCCTCGTGGTTTATTTTAATACAAACTGTACGAAGTTTATTGTCTAACTTGTTCAGTTAGTTATAGTTTTACGCTCATCTCTTATAACACACTCCATTGTCAAAACTGTAACGCCTCCCAGCATGATGGTTACTTTAAATTTGTAGACTTACTGAGCATTGGTCCGTGAATCTTTATTGCAGAGCGAGATGATTATAGAAGCGATCGTTCTTTGTTCTGCATTTATTTTGACTGACTCTTACTTAGTATTGTTTCCGTTACGTCTTTAACTAGTAACAAAATTAGTGTACCGTAACGTTTTGTAAGACTTTGATATAAAAGTGTTAACTCTAAACTATTTCAAGTATGATATTTCTAATAAAAAGTAAAAAAAGTATAGTTACAGCCTATATATACGTCCCACTGATGGGCAAATGCCTCCTCCCACTTTTTAGAGGTTTTAGTGTAGGAATTGTCCGCCGCGCTGCCCCAATTGGCGGACTTCACATGTCTTCGACGTATTATTTTTATTCCTCGGACATGCATGTTTTCCTACGATGTTTTCCTTCACGTGGTAAATCGATACTTAAAATTGCAATTAAAAATTTCATTAGTGCCGACTGGTATTGAACCCGGGATTGCTCGCGTTCTGCGAAATTTACAGCGAGCGCTAACCCCTGAGCTACCACGCCTTTTAATATATCTGGTATTTCTAACAAAGCCCAATAATTAGTAAAGTGCGTGCCTGATTTTGTATTATAAATTATATTTTAAAGTATAAAATATAGACACTCGAATAATTTGTCTAGTGTAGATGATAATTTCTGTTATTAGCTGGGAATACAAACCCCAATTATAATTCATTAAGATTATGATGATGTTATCTCCTCAGACTGCAAAATATCTTAAACACTACAGGAAAATATTGTTATAATTTAATAAATTCTGGACATTATGATGAAGAGCTGAATAATCCAAAGATAAGTTGGCATATAAATCGTGTTGTCGAACACGATTTATCATTCAACTCTTCTAGCAGCGAATAGCAGTGGGCTACGGTATAACGAATGACTTTTCAAAGAGCTTTTGTATCACAAACGACAAGAGACCACACAGTCTATCTGATGGTAAGTGAATACTGAGGCCTATGTACATCTATGTCTTTTCTCGGTTAAGAATCAAAAAATAGATGTTTTCTCGTCTGGCGACCAAGATGGAATGCATTATTTCTAGTTTCCGGTTCTCTACACTCACCGTACGAAACACAGCAGCCTTAAGCTGTTATTTTACGTTGGTATTTTGTGAGAGATCGGTCCTTCCCCGGTTGGACCGAACCATTCGTGTTACAACCACAATATAGCTTTAGCATGGTTTTACCACGTAAATACCACCTACTAAAGAACTGGTGTTTTTTTTTTTTTTTTTTATAGGATAGGGTGACAAACGAGCACACAGTCCACCTGATGGTAAGTGGTTGCTGTGGCCCATAGACATCTACATTTATCCTCGTATGCGAATCAAAATGTAGATGCGTTGTCACCCGTGAGGACTAGGATGGAATGCCTCATTTCCAGTAAAAAGGGCCTCCGGCCACCTGCACTCACCAAGCGAAACGCAGAGGTATACCTCTATTTCACGCTGGTATTCTGTGAGGTCGTGGTACCACCCCGGTTCGAGCCGGCCCATCCGTGCGACAGCAAAAGCTGCCGCCTGGCTCTACCACTGTTAAAAAACCCGTGGTGTCCGTTACCGTTAAGAATATTCAGAATGGACTCCCCTTTCTGTTATCGTTTTTTACCACTGCTGAACATAGGCCACCATAGATCGCCTCATACGGGGAATATTTGCTATAGTTGTCATGCTTGGCAATCGGGTTGGCAACCGCAGTTATTTTATTTTTAGTCGTTATTATCATTATCTCCTGATTTGTTTCCCTCTGTCGCCTCTTACGATACCCAGAGGATATAAATGGGGTAATCAACAACAATGTTTGCCGTTGATGAACTAATAATTTCAAGATAAAGCAACCTAAGTGTTATTTTAACAGGTCACCGATATTAGAGAAAACTGTTTTAGAACATGGTGAAAAAAAAACAACCTTTTAACCAGTTATTTATAAAATAAAACTGTTAAAACATTTCATTGCGATCTTTTCTTTAATATTTTGAATGTGTATTGAATTGAATTGTGGTTTTGTTAATAATCGACGTAGGACAACTAAAACAGAGGATGAGCGGTAGCATACTTTTGTTAGCAATTCGAAAAAATATAGAAAGCTATTGCTGCTGACTTATTTGTCA